GTGTGTGTGTGTGTGTGATGAATGTGCAATAGTCGTTTGTTCCACCCTCCTTTGCTGCTGTGCACACCCATGAGAGGGCGCACCCACAGACATATAATCGACCGCAATTATGAATATCCACAGGGAGCACGAGACGATCGCCAACACGCTCCTCACACGTTCACAGCGAACCCTTCTTTTCACAACCAGCTGCAAAAAGAAAATATCAGACACACCAATAATTAAAGAAAAAAACTCACAGCAGCAGCAGACACTCGCTTATTCACTCTTCTTGCGCTTTTCATATCTCTCTTCGCCACCTGAGAGGCCGTTCTTATCTGTGTCGTCGCGCTGCTGCTTACGGGCCGATGCAGAGGTATCCCCGGCCTCCTCCTTCTTCTTCCCATTCTGTTGCGTCAGCAGCCACTGGTGGTGCTGGGCGACCTCATCGGGGTCAAACACCAACGGCTCCCCCAAAAACGTACGCCGCAGTGCCCCATCGAGAGAGGCACTGGTGGCATCTATGTTCTCCATGACGTACTCGCGCGATGCGGAGTCGAGGCCTTGCATAATCTGCATGCCACAGAGGGAGTACAAGTTTTCGAATGTGTCTTCCACAAATGTGTGGGATATCGGGTGCTTCCACGGCGCGACCGCCTCCGTCGTTTGGACCGTATCTGCCCCACCATTACCGCCCCCATGGCCTGCCTCAGCAGAAGTAACCGTACCGGTAGACTCAACAACACAGGCCGGGGTACCGCCCAAAGGTGGCAGCACGCACGCCAGGCGCAGACTGTTACACCGCTGGCACACAAGGAAGGCTTCGTTGCTATGCAGTTCACACGTCTGGCATAAAAAGGCCTCCTCATCTCGTATAATATGACCACAGTGATCGCACTTGTCATGGAGCTGCACCACCATCTCTGTGACGGCNCCAGCCGTGTTGCGCGGTGCGAAGCGCTCGTACGCCTCCTGGCATGGTTTGCACGGGCACGTCATCTCCACCGTGAAGGCGTCCACGGGGAAGAGCATGCCGTGAAATGGGTAGACGTCATCGGGAACCCCTGCATCCGCGGCGAGACCGCATGGCACGATGCGTTTGTGCTGCTCTGCCGGCACCTTCTCCGGCAGCTGCCCACCGTAGCACTGCCGCGGGTCATTTTCCAGCAGCCACGGGTGCTCCTGCATGCAGTGCGCGCAGATGAAGCCGACAAACGAGTCGCTGTTCATCGCCTCCACCGCAACGGCGGGCGGCATAGGCAGGTAGCGAGTTGCATCACTGAGTTCCGCCTCAGGGACGGTCTCCGCGATGGCGCAGCATCCACCGCAGCCGCAGCTGAACTCCACACCCGCCGACGCACCGTTTTCGGTGCCGCGCGCACGCGAGGCGAGAACGGCGTCGGGGTCAACCTCGTGGTCCTTGTGGCAGCGCAGACGGCACGGAGTGCAGACAAGCGTCTCGCACGTACGGCAACGGAAGACGACGGCGTCACCCTCCTCCACATCGCCGTAACATGGCATGCGGCGGAACGCGTCGGTGTGGAGGCGTGTCATGTGCGTGCTCCAGTAGCACGTCGCGCACAGCATGCAGACGATGCCGCCGCATGTCGTGTCGTCCACAGGGTGATCGTCCTCAGAGTCACAGTAGCACCACTTGCGCAGGGCGCGGGGGTAGCGGTTCTTGCTGTTCAGCGGCACCACCGACGTTGCCGGTGGCTGCCCAGTCTCAGAGTCAATAACGAAGCAGCAGTGCCGTGGCTCCTGTTCCTGCTTCTGCTGCTGCTGTTGATCTGAAGTCTCCTCACTCTGTCTACTCTCGTCATTGGGGGCATGGTTGTTACTAGTCTTGTTATTGGCATCGCTGACGTTTTGCCAGCATGCCACGGTGCAGCAGTCGCACCGCATATAGTTGCGCACACCCCACTCCTCCACGTCGTGGTTGCCGTGGCAGACCTCCGCACAGGCGTAGCAGAAGGCATGTGCCGGGTTGGCCCACCCATTCCTTACACATGTCCGACACACAAAAGCGGTCTGCGGCACGTAGCCGTGGCTGTAGCTGCAGCGGAACGAGCGGTTGTCGCGCTCCACTGTGGTGGTCACGAGCCGGTGGAGCTGCGCCACCGCCTTCTCGTTGATATACGGGACGGACGCAACAGTGCCGATGAGCATGAGCGGAATCGTCACCGCGGCTGCAGCAGGCGAGTCGATTGCAGAAGAGGACGAGACTGAGGGCACCGCCGCACCACCACCACCATTACTGCTGGTGCTGGTAGCGTGAGTATTTGAGATGAGGTCGAGCAGCCGCACCTCATCACGGCCCTCACGCCGGCGGTGCTTTACAACCGGGGCACCGAACAGCAGCCGCTGCTTCTCTTGCGGCACACCGCTGCGAGCGGCGAGCTCCTTCTTGAGGTCGCCGACTGTCGCGGTTGCTGCTGGGAACACAAGCAGAAGCTTCTGCCGCGCGTGGGTCACCTCCAGACGGATCTCTGTCACCGCAGCGACGCTGTGGTGCGACGTCATGCGGGGGCGCGTGCACACAGTCTGCTCTACGCGTACAACTGGCACGGTAACAAAAGGAGGATGCGAGGAGAGAAGCCAATACATATCGCAGCAACAGCAACGGCTAATAGAATAAAAAAGCCGAGCAGCGTGATACAGCGAAGATGGTCCAAAAAAACAACAACACACACACACAGAACACACAGAGAGTACGGCACCTCCACACACACCCACAGACCGACAGACAGACCGACAGACACGCGTCCCACCGCTCCTTTGCTTCTGCTCTATTATTATTTTCTCTCCTTTACATTTTCTACAGCCACGCGGTCTTAAGGAACCAAAAGAGCATGCCCCACAACCTGCATTGCCTCTGCCATACACACACACACACACATACGAAGGAGAGAGTGAGTGAGTGAGTTAGAGATAGAGAGCGAGTGAGAACAAAAAAAGGTCACACGTTTTCCTTCAGACTACTCACACACAACACCAAAAACAAAACAATGACGTCAAAAGGGACATAAATACCTCGATCAAAGAGCCGCACGATTGGGAGGATGGGATCAGTGCGAAGAGGCCGGAGGTCCTCCACATGCGGGGGCGAATCAAAGATAACACGAATAGCAACAACGAAACAAAGAAGACAGCGAAATCGAAGAGAAAAAGGGCCCGGCCCGCTGTCTTCCCATAGCTCCCCGTCCTTGCTCACCACCTCCCTGCAACCC